ATAGGTTTTTCTGTGTACACCATCTGTCGGCTGCAAACAATGATGGTTTTACTTTCTTTTTTGCAATTTGGATGCTTTTCATTTCTTTTTCTTGTCTGATCACTGGGGATAGAACTTCGAATACTGTGTTGAAGAGAAGTGGTGAAAGTGGTCACTCTTGTCTTGTGCCTCATCTTAGGGTGAAAGCTTCTAGATTTTGCCCACAGAGTATGATGTTGGTTGGAGGTTTCTCATATATGACCTTTTTTATATTGAGGTGTGCTCCCTCTATTCCCACTTTGCTGAGTGTTTTTATCATAAATGGGTGCTGTACCTTATCAAATGTTTTTTCAGCATCTACTGATATGATCATATGATTTCTGTCTTTCATTTTGTTTATGTGATGTATTTATTATGTTTATTGATTTAGAAATATTGTGCCATCCTTGTATCCCTGGAATGAATCCCACTTGATCATGGTGTATGAACTTTTTAATGTATTGCTGGATGCAGTTTGCCAATATTTTTTTCAGGATTTTAGCATCTATGTTCACCAATGTTATTAGCCTGTAGTTTTCTTTCTTTGTTATGTCTTTATCTCATTTTGGGATTAGGAAGATGCTGGTGTCATAAAAAGAGTTTGGTAGTCTTTCCTCTTTTGGGTTTTTTTAGAATAGTTTGAGAAGAATAGGAGTTAGCTCTTCTTTAAATGTTTTGTAAAATTCTCCTGTGAAATAGTCCAGTCCATGGCTTTTGTATGCTGGGAGTTTTCTGATTACTGCTTCAATATCACTGGCTGTTATTGGTCTGTTCAGACTTTCTGCTTCTTCCTCATTTAGGTTTGGAAGACTATATGTTTCTAGAAATTTGTCCATTTCACCCTAGTTTTCAAATTTCTTGGCATATATTTGTTCATAGTAATTTCTTATAATCTTTTGTGTTTCTGTGGTATCAATTGTAATTTCTTCTCTTCCCTTCTGATTTTATTATTTGGGTTTTCCCTCTTTTTTCTTGATGAGTCTGGTTAAAGTCTTGTTGATTTCATTTATCTTTTCAAAGTGCCAGCTCCTGGATTTATTGATCCTTTGAATTGTTCTTTTAGTCTCTATGTAGTTTATTTCTACTCTGATTTTGATTATTTCCTTTCTTCTACTTGCTCTGGGCTTTGTTATTGTTCCTCCATTTCTTGTAGATGTAGGATTAAGTTGTTTATTTGAAAGTTTTCTATCTTTTTTGGTAGGCCTGTATTGCTATGAGCTTCCCTCTCAGGACTGCCTTCACTGTGTCTCATAAGTTTAGGGTTGTTGTGTCTTAATTTTCATTTGTTTCAACAAGCTTTATGTTTTTTACTTTGATCTCACTGTTAAACCACTCATTGTTTAATAATATGTTATTCAGTGTCCATGAACTTGACTGTTTTTTTAATTATTTCCTTTAGTTTGGCTTCTAATTTCAAGCCATTGTGGTCTGAGAAAATGCTTGATATGATTTCAATTATCTTGAGTTTGTTGAGGCTTGTTTTGTGTCCTCTCATGTGGTCTATCCTTGAAAATGTTCCACATACATTTGAAAAAATGTGTATTTTGCTTATTTGAGGTAAAAGGGTCTGTGCATCAATTAAATCCATTTGAAATAGTGCACCTGTCAGTGCCACAGTATCACTGTTGCTTCTTTAGAAGATCTGTCCATTGTTGACAGTCGGCTGTTAAAATTCCCTACTACAAGTGTTGCTGTCATTATCTTTCTTTAAGTCCTTCAAGATTTTCTTATATATTTGGGTGCTCCTATATTGAGTGCATATATGTTTATAACATTTATATATTCTTGATGGAGTCTACCCTTGAGTATTATTAAGGGTCCTTCTATGTCTTTTTTATGGCCTTTGTTTTGAAATCTACTTTGTCTCATATAAGTATTGTAACCCCAGCTTTTATTTCCTGTTCTTTTTCTTGGGAAATTTTCTTCCAACCATTCACTTTCAATCTGTGTAGGTACTTTGTTCTGAGATGGGTCTCTTATAGGCAACATATATGTAGAGCATGTTTTTCTTATCCATTAAACTAACCTATGTCTTTTGATTGGGGCATTTAATCCAGTAACATTTAAGGTTATTATTGATAAGTACTTATTCATTGCCATTTTTCTCGTTTATACCTATGTTCCTCTCTCACTCTCTTTTTTCGTCTTCTTAAAACAGTCCCTTTAGCATGCCTTGCAATGTTGGTTTGGTGGATATGTATTTTTTTAGCCTTCTTTAGTTAGAGAAACTACTTATTTCACCTTCCGTTTTAAATGAGAGCCTTGCTGGTGTTGTAGATCTATCTGCCTGGTTTTAGGAATTGTAACTCAACCCCTTGTAGCTAAGGGTGAGGGACGACCTCTGAAGTGCCAGCCACAGGAGACAAAGCTTGTCTCTGGTAGCAATCACTGCCTCAGTTTCCTCTCCCTGCTCTCAAAGCTTGGTCAGAAGTCAATGACAGGTAAGACCCCTCACAATGGGGGGCAACCTAAGCCAGACTCTATCACTTAGGAGGCCTTTATGGAAGGATTGGGGCTTGGGGTGTGCTGCAACAAAGAGCAATGGACTCTTGCCCCCTGGCTTTGACATAACCAGAGTCGCCATGTCCTCTGGGAGAAGTGCTTCCTGGCTCTAATCCCTTTAAGCCTGAACACCTAATGGGGAGAGGGGCAGCTCCTTGACTTGCTAGAGAATGTCCTGGGGGGCGGAATCTGGGGTCACAAAAACTTCCTGATAAACCTGTGAAATTTGCTCTTCTAAGAATGCTTTTATTCATATGTTAAGCGTTCCAGCAAGAAATCCTAAAACTCTATTCCTGACAGATTCTGACTGAGAGTAAGCCCTCAGATTTCTTTGAAATGAAAAGAAATCTACTGTTTGATCCTTGCCACCTTGTATTCCTGTGTATCACAACTCAAAAGGCCCTGGAGGAGGGGGCTCGAGGCCTTTTTCCCCTGTGAAACTGGCCACTGCTCACTTCTCCTCCCCAAGCAGATCACATTATCCGTGGCACACGGTGGGACTTGCAAGGAAAGTCGCCCCCACATTCTACTAGTTTGAAATCAATACAAAAGATTTGTACAAGAAGTTTGTACAATCAATACAAGAAGTTTGAAGAACTTTAACAAAGTGCCAGCTCTTGTGGGCTAGAGGCTGGGCTATAGCTCTTTGGGACACTCATGGGCTCTGTTGGGAACTGCAGCCTAGACCAAAGCATAGGTAGAAATGCTTTGCCTCCTCACACGACCAAAAGAAGGATAAGGACCAATTTAAAAATAATAAACAACCAGAAGTGCCAAAAATCAAACTGCATGAAACTCCACATCCAAGGAGTTAAAGAAACATTCATCCAGATTTATATGAGGGGCAGAAATCAGAGACAGTCAGCCAAGCAGAGAGGAAGCCCAGCCAGGCAGTGGACCAAGCAGGCAAGGCAGAGCTGGGTAAACGAAACTAAAAACCTCAACCTATAAACTACTGAGGGGGTTGCAATGGCAAAAGAAAGGTGCCTAAGTGAGAGGAGCCTGATTTTGCACAAAAGATCCAGAAAGCTTGCCCAGGGATTGGGAGGCTTGACCCTAAAATGGCAACCTCCAGGCAAGGGGTAAAAAGGAAGAAGGAAAAAGGGAGCTGCTCCAGAGATGACAATGGTATCTTGGTTAGAAGACTATAAAATGTGATTGACAGCCACAATATAGGTACTGTGGCTGAGAGTAAAACATATTTCTAACAAAGAAAAGATTACTCTGTTCAAATCTATGAAGTAAAGTTGTTCCCAAAAGCTAATGTAAAAACTCCCAGTTATTGGTCAGTTCCTCTCCATTCTACTGGCTTCTTCCTCTTCTTCCATGGCTGACCTATTGCCCAGCTATGGCCCCTTCCTTGAGCTGGCCAAATGTGACAGTGATTCAGGTGGAGCTCAGAGAGAACCACCAAGGACACCCCCTTTTGAAGTCACACAGGGAGTGGGTACCTAAATATGCAGCACAAACTAAAAAGAAGTCCCTCACTCTTTTTAAAAGTATATTTTATTGATTATGCTATTATAGTTTTCCCATTTTTTCTTCCTTTTATCCCCACTTTGCCCTGTACCCACCTCCCCTCCAGCATTCTCCCACCCCCTTAGTTCATGTCCATGGGTTGAATGGTATCCCCCTTGGTATCCCTCATGCAGGATTTTCTCTGGCTGTGGGATTTTCATGATGCAAACAGGGTTGATAAATTAGAAACATGATCATCCTCTGCAGACAAATATTGACTATAATAGGAACTAACTGCATGACTTTGTTTTTCCATAACGAGGGATAACTTTTAAAGGGGTATCCCTTAAATGGATGTGCATATTTTTTTCATGTTTAAAGGGTGTTAACAAGGTGGTGCTAGGAAAAGAAAGCCCATTAGCCTAGATCACAAACTAGATTTTCTCAGTGATGATTATGTGTTATAGCTATCTATTTGAAACATTAAAATAAAGCAATTAAAGCAACTTTAATACAGCTCCAGTGAGAAAAGTAATTGTGTTAATATGAATCTTAAACTCTGTGTTTACAACTCCATTTCTTTTAATTCAACTATGTTATATTTAATTTATAGTCAAGCAATTATTTTATAATCAATTTTAATGTGTATCTTTGAAAAATAGCAGTTCTACCATTACAAATCAGATGGGACCTGAGTGTAGAATGTGATACATGATTTTCTAACTTGAGGGATGCAAATCTGTCACTCACTAGATTGTAGGTTTTTAGGTTAAGTAACTGTGTCTTTTATTTTTCTGTCCCATAGTAATCAGCTGAACAAGTACATATGCTAGCATTACATCTTAATGTGCCCCCACCCCATGAACCAGTACACCCACTTACTGGAAGTTGGAACCCTGCAGTTGTAAAGATAAGAGTACAGAGCAAGGGGTTTTTTTGCCACTGTCATTGCCCACTACCACTATCCCAATATTCCCCTACCATTTGGAGTTCATCAAGTTCCACTTTTCTCTTCATGTCAGGAATCCTCGTCATGATGTCCTTGTGCAGTGAGGTGCATGTGTATGAGTACATCCCATCCATCAGGCAGACAGAGCTCTGCCACTACCACGAGCCCTACTATGATGAAGCCTGCACACTGGGAGCATACCACCCACTGCTCTACGAGAAGCTGCTGGTGCAGCGCCTGAACATGGGTGCCAGGGCTGACCTGCACCATAAGGGGAAGGTGGTCCTGCCAGGGCTGCGGGCTGTGCACTGCGCCACCCCCAGCTCGTGAAAAGAGACTCTTGGGAACCAATGTGCAATAAGGTACTACCGTTGTTCTCTAAGTCACAAAAAATACTTGAAGATATATTTTAGGCAATGTAGTCTTGAGTCTTTTAAACTGCAATTTTTGGCCACAAAAATTCTTTATCTAAGCCACTGGTATTTATTACTGCTTTGAATATAATAATGGAATTAAAAAGAAAAAATATATCAAGAAAGATGCAAAAAAGAAAATAAGAAGATGCTGAAAAAAAGAAAATAAGTAAGAAAAATGTTAAGCTTTTCTTATGCCATGGACACTGCTTATCTGGGTCTATTTCAGTGATATGGAGAAATGGCTTATACTGCAAAATGGTAACACTGAGGTACAGTATAACATCTAGTGTGTCACTTGTATGGGCATTCATCATTAAGGAGCCTAGAGTTTATGATGACTGTCTAAATTAGAACTCAGATGTATTCATTTTAACAGCAAAAATCTTTACAATATCTTATGAGGTGCTTGTGTTTCCAAACCATTGCATTTACCACCTGTGCTTCCTAGTATGCACTGAGTGATTTGCTCTTTGTATCAGGACACATTTCTAAAATCATAGATCACCCATGTTGAATAATCCAAGAACAAGCCAACCCTAGATTAGCACCTCTGAGGAGACACTTGGTTTTCCTGCAGAATTTCCTTACTCAACTAGGAGTATCACCCAGATGGAAAGCAACATCACTGGCAAGTAACACAATCATGACGCTGCAGGGTGGCCGTGGACAAGATGGTTCCAACTCCAGCATTCCCACCTCGTACCTTCTGCTCTGCCAGTCCTCCCCACAGCCTTCATAGTTATACATACTGACAAGGACAACACACCTGTAGGAGAGGGTTCCTTCCAATCCAGAAGAAAAGAGCAGTAACCCTGTGCTTCTGGGGATGCACACTTATGTGTTTTATAAGGATTTCTTGCAGGTCAGTATCAGCTATTGAAAACCTGACACTAATTCTTCCTACAGTTGGACATTTAGGAATTTGTTTTCACAGATATGATTTTGTCAGTAATATAAGAGAGCCATATAATTAAATAAAATTGTGTGAAAGCATGGCTCTTTAACAACAAGGACAACACATATCTGCTTCAGAAGGAAAGGCAGATAGAGGGGAAACTGTCATCCCAATGCTTAGCTATATATAGTTTGGGGTTTTTTATCTTAATTTTTGTCACTGTTACATTGAAAAAAATTTTGATATGAACATAGTGAAACAGAAATATTTGAAATACCTTAATTAAATATGTTATTATTCCAATATATAGTCAAGATACATTTTGGTGGTCTGGTCAACACTTATTCACAAAGACCATAGCAGCTTAGTTAAATGCTCTCCCTCAGAAGCATGTGAATGTCAGAAGAGTTTATGAAATGTTTTCTTGGTCTAGGATTTTTTGTGTGTGTGAGTTCTCTAAGGACTGCTTTCTTGAGCAAGAGTGATTTACACAAACTTATAGCTATTTGATCAGTCTACACAGCAGAAATCCAGTTGGATAACAGACAGCTCCTATGGCTTATTATAATAGTGAAATAGGAGTAATTGAAAAAGTTTTTAACATGACAGTGTTCACTGAAAACCCATTTTGAGAGCTTTGTTTCTAGATCTATGAGAAGGAATGAATAATTTTGTCCTATACATTAGCTTATGTCTGAGCAGACATGGTCAAACCACTTTTCTTTCTTATCTCCTAAAAGAGCTTTAGTCTTGTCAGCGTGTTTAGTGGGTAGTAAATTCAGTAATTCTGAATGCTGGTGAGGTAGCTGTGATGCAGAGGGAGCACTCCTCTTGCAGTCCTATTTCTCCCTGGACCTTCCAGGCTCTGCCTTCAAATGCCCACAGCATTGAAATCTCTTTGGTAGTCATCCTAGTGGATTCCTTTACCATGTCCTTATCACCCAGGACAACCCCCTTTGATGACATTAGAAATTGGTTCAAGAAAAATTTATTGGAGCCAGTGTAAACATTCAAGTTCAAAAGCCCCAGAAACACTTCAAAGATTTTTTAATTGCATAGTGTTATAATACATATACTTTTTAAATTACTTTCGGTCTCACTGAAATTATAAGACTGAAGGGCATAGAGAAAATTTAATTAAAATGTTTGAATTTTTTATGGTCTTAAAGACCCTTTGGAGTCAGGATTTGTTAAATATTCCAGAAATATGGCACATACATATTAACAAAGCACAGGCTGGGCATTCTTCTGTTTAAAAGTTTAAATTGTTTTGCCTGTCCAAATATTAGGCAGTTAGTGTTACCATGATGACTGCTTTCAGGATTAGCCAAATTTGGTATTATTTGGCCAGACATCAATTAAATTCTTACATACTACATATGCTGAACTGCAGTAAACACACAGGCCTTTTGTGGCATAGTTAATAATAAATAGTACCCCACTGCATTTCTTCCCCATTGCATTAGAAGGGACTCCCTTCATCCTCTTCTGTGAAGGGACACTGATAAAGTCCTTTCAGAGCAACCTAAAGCCATTAGGTGTCTCTTTTCTTCACTCTCAGGACTGACAAGGGTCACTTTGTTGTATATTTCAAGATACATTTCCCTTGATAATTTTTTGTTTTTATTATTGTAATCACAAAAAAATATATTGGCCAAGAATGACAACTCATCATCATCTAGATTCTTTCAAACTCCCTTCACCAGTCCCTCCACCAGGTATGAGGGTAAGGTGTACTAGATATATGCAGCATTCTCACTGTCTCATGGAATACAGTGCTGGCCTATGTATCTGACCCTCCCCATAAATCCTTATAGGCCTGCTTTTCGCAAGAACTATGCATAGGGCCAAGATATGATCAATCAAAAGTTGTATGTAAGCATTAGGCAACACCAGGGTGTGCATTAAAATGGGCCATATGAAGAACTTTTCCACATCTTTCAATTACTGGGTCCCTTTCTTGTCTGCCTGGACACAGAGCTCAAGGAACCCAGCATCAGCACCAGCACTTCCTGTGTGTCTCAAGCAGACAGTTGATACTGGACTCTCTGGTAATCATGTTGTCCTTGTAGCCATAGCATCTGGACAAAACAATGCTGAAATAATCATTAGCATTTTCAGAACTGGGAAATAAAAGTAGCTGAAGCTACCATGGGGTCCCTTTGTTACATGTTTATGAGCCAGGTCATTCTTGTGGAATAGATTAATACCACTTCCATCCACTGAACTAATTAGGCCCAGTTGGGCCACATTAGGTGGTATCAATCTCACATGTGTCATGAGATGAAAGAATTTAGTGTGCACAAGTGACAAGATTCAAATCACAAGTGATTCAAATTCTCTTTCCAACCTTTCTTAGAGGTCATGGTACAGTGCATGTTTGGCTGGTGGCCAAAGTGACCTGGTCTCATTACTGTTTAGCTGTGGAAAGAAATAGAGAAAGGAGGTGGGAGAATTATGGAGAAATAAAAAAATGAACATATAGGCCAAATAGTCTAAGAATATATTCTATCATACTATTTGTTTTGACTTCTCACTTTCTGATAGTTTAGAACTCTACCAAGTGGTTACATAGCTGAAGAAGGTATCTACATTTGCAAATGAATTGCTTACATAAAATGTGTCTGAGTTAAAATTTTTGTTTTATACTCTGGGTGTTTCCATTGTGAAAATATTCTGTGTGTTTCTGTCACTGGGGCATAATCTTCACAATTGGTAAATGAAAAGTATTTCTCTGTCCACTCAAAAAATATAACTGCTGATTCTTGTTTTATTAAAGGAATGAAGCCTTTTAGTAAAAAAAAAAAACAAAAACAAAAACAAAAAAAACCATAATCCAGCATATATCTCTACAAGTTTGGGCTAGTAGAATTTAAGGATTCATATAGTTCTCACTCTTGTCATAGAAAGAGTGCATATAGTTATATATACACATATCTATACATATAGTTGATTTTTATTGTCTTTTTTGTCAACCTTTATTTCTGAAACCTTTATGATACACTTTATTTTAATTATATAAACATCAATTTTTAAAAGATAAAAGTACCTTGTTTTGCCATGTGTAATGCACACCCAACGTTTTTTCCCCAGACTTTTAGGAAAAAAAATCTTTTGTTTTAATTTTTTAATTCCATCTTTATTTATTTATTTTAGATACTTGATTTTGTATTATAAAGTATTTTGGCATTTTTTGAACATATGGATATTGTTATTGCTGTCTAGGGTTATACTTTAACACATAAGCATGAAGAAAAGAATTAAAAACATTTATATACATACAAAATTAGTACTACCCATGGATAATGAGCATCCTTATTTTTTCCTCAAAAATTTGGGCAAAAAAGAAAAGTACATATTATACATGGCTATTATACATGGCTAAAAAGTACATATTATACATGGTAAATATTATATGTCTTTCCGTTAAAAATATACTCTTGTACACACTAATCTTTTACACATCCTGGTTGCATTAACAAGTATATTAGACATATTTAAAAGTCACTATGAAGGTGGACCAACTACTTAAAGATAGCCTAATTGCACTCTAAATTTTGATGAGAAATCTATAGCTTATGGCTTTTACAAGATTAAGGGAAGAAATATTCATTGGTTCTATGGAAAAGAGTTTCTTACAAGGTAAGTGTCAAGTAAACTAACTGCATTGGTAGCATTAAGACCTAACATTTATAATATCACATATCCCATTTTATCCTAGATAACAATACTTACGAATTTTTTCCGGTGGAAATCAGTGAACTTTTTAAACAGCTTTGGGAATTTTTTTGTATGATAATTTTTAAAATTAAATGTGTACTATTCAAACTAATTAAGGCTTAAGATTTTCCAGGAGTCACATTTTAACATTTTGATATTTTCTATTTTGGTTTTGTATATTTTATGTACATATAGTGTACAGACTTTTTCTTATAAATAAAACATGTTTTCATTTGTCTAAAAGTTTCTCTGTTTTAATTTGCAGGAGTTGCACATATAGATAACTGAGCAGCAAAATA